GAGGACCAAAAAGTAGAAGCAGTACTGTGTGACAAACACAAGGGCAAAAAGCTGAAGCTTTTCTGTGAACAATGCGAGACATTAATTTGTAAAGATTGCACCCTGATCGACCACAAAGATCATAAGTTTGCATTCATCGCAGATGTTGTTGAGAAGCATAAAGGACAACTTCAAAAGAAAATGCAACATGTATGTGGAACAAAGAAGAAGATTGAATCCGCTTTGAAGACAGTCAAGGAGATGCAAGATCGAGTGAGAAAAAATGAGAAAAAAATCAAGAAAGAGATAGATGAGAAAATCGATGTAAAAATTGCAATTTTGGAAAAGATGCGAGCAACACTTAAACAAGAGTCCACAAATCTGACGGCTACAAAAATGAAGAGACTCTCTTTACAACAGGATGGTCTTGAGATGCAATTGGCAAGTCTGAAAAGTGCAGTCGAGTTCACTGAAAATATTCTTGTCAAGGGCAGCAATAATGATGTTTTGTCAATGAAGACACAAATCGAATCGCGTTTAACAGAGCTATCAAAGAAAGAAATTGATGATGAGGTCTATGAGGAAGACAAGCAAATCTTACAAGTCAATGAAATACCTCATAGTGACTTGGAGAACTATTTTGTAATCAAAGATGGTTCTGCTCCTGATCCTAAAAAGTGCACAGTTCACAGGATTTCAAACACCAACTACATTGTCGTACACGTCAGGAATTACTTAAATCAGCCAATCGACATAAAAACAAACAGGATTAAATGTAAGCATAGTGAACTTAGTCATTTTACATGCTCCAAGATAATGGGTAAGAAAGGTGAATATGAGATGGAGTTCTCAAGACGGTTAGGTCTTGTTCAAGGATGGTTTCTCCAGGTCCTGATTGACGAATTCATTGTTCGTCCCATGATCATTCAAGAATGAGCTGAAGAGTAGTGTGGTTGAAGTTYTTCGACTCTCAYTTTCAGTTTTAATTCGTATTAACAGAAATAAATCTTTGCATCGATTCAGTTGAATTTTTGTTGTATTGTTCATATTACAATGCCAGATTCGATGCGTTTGTCGAACCTGATTCAGGTTCTTTACATTTCTTACGAAATCTGGAATGTCATGAATAATGGTAATATCATGTTGCGTGACAAAAACAATTCACCTTTTTCCGCGATAGCCTGCGTGGCAGCTCTAGGGGAGGGGGGAAGAGAGAAAACGGAAGGGAAGGTAGAGCCGCCACGCAGGCTATTTCCGCGAAAAATGACAAAACCAAGTTGACCCCATATTGAGTAATTTGTACACAATCTGATGCTGAATTAAATCCTTCGCGACGTCTTGTGATTGCATTCAAGTTGGTGAGTATATTACACACTCCTATATGCTTGTAAATAAGTATTTATCCGTTAAGAACCTGGAAAATAAGCTCCGATGTAACTAGTAGTAACATAGGAGTTCATTTCCTGGTTTATATCATTTGGCGAGATCGATCATTGATTTGTACTATAACAATAGACTTTATAGGTCGCCATATCTTGTTTGCACTTCAGTAGTCTGCTGAGAAAATCGAGCGCGAAAGAAAATGGCATTAGAAATGTGCATTCTTCACTAGAGTAAGAATAGCTGCATTAATTGGAAAAATGTGCTTCACAGTTGAGCTAGTTTGCTACAAAAGTTAGATACACTTCTAACTGGACAGCATGAATAGATTTCCCTCGAAAAACGCTCGAATACACATTTGTAAATATCTCGTCACCAACTGAGCATGTATTCGAACGGAAAATTTGATTAACTACTAACTAATATCATAAACTAGATGTTTTCCATGTCTGTTTCTTTTAATCAGGCCAACGAAAAGCGAGATAATCGAAAATTCTGAAAATGGCAGCAAA